TAGGGCTGTACTGGTTTCTGTAGACTGGTGAATGTCCCTCTTCTTCTGAATTGGGGAGAGCAACTGCTTTGGCGATCAATCGTGCTTGTAGTGGACACTTTTCCTTTAGTGCGTCATATATATTATCAATAGATCCTTCAATCAAAGACATATTCCGTTTAGAATGTGGTGAGGAGATGTATGTGCATTCTGCCCAAATGGTTGGGGACTTCTCACACAAGGGCAATTTGAATCCAATTTATAGTTATCGTTGCCCCTCCTTAATCCAACACTTCAATCCAACAAACAAAGAACCCCCCCCAACCAGGATTATAATTAAACTTTTGTTTTATGAATAAAACACCTCATTTCATTGTATCTTATCATTTGGCTTTGTGAGTGTGGTTGATCTGGTATAAAGCTGCTTTTGTTTCAGTTATTTTTGTTGGAAAGTGAGCTTCTTGCGGGGCTAGAAAGATACAACTTCAACTGTGAACATAAAGACAGGTGGGAACGTAGTGGTATACGTTACACCAAACTAGGCGTTATGTCAACTGAAAAGTGGGTTAAAGTGACACAAACCATCTCCCCGCAAAGCATTGTAAAAATAAAATTGTATAACGCCGATGGTTGGTTATTTCCGATGAATTCCCGTTTCAGCCACAAATCAGTGACGAATCTTTCAATAAAGTTAGGGGAGAGGGAGACACCTTTTTTGGGAATACAAATCCCACATGTACACCTGTTAACTATTGTTTAACCATATTTCACGAGAGGTGTAAGTATTTCAATAGCAAAAGAAGGGATCAATTGCAATTGTTCATCGACAATTAACCAATGTGGAGATGCTTTAGCTCGAGGTGAGAAAACATCTACATATGTATCTCATTAGCACTATCACTGATATTTGTGACTACTTGGACCAAACAGTTGCATAAAAAGGATGCATTCAGAGCAGACGTCTTGAAGGGAAGCTTGACAGTAATTACATGCTGTTTACACCCCGTATATGTGGACCCCCCAAATTTTCAAGGTGGAGAATACCAACTGTAATTTAATTTCTCGACTTGGTCTCTGTTCTAAACTAAACTCCTAGACTTTGATTTCTCCTAAATCAGAATACCCCACTTTTATAAAGCATTACGTTATTTTTCAAATCTCAAAATAAAATGGGGATTAAAAAGAAACACTTATATTTGTATATATATAATCTATAATTTTNTCTCATTTCTCAAAATGGACCCCTCATTATACATCTTATTCAAATCCTTTTCGAAGAACTTAGTGCAAATAGGTCTTCTTATCTTTTGTGTCGGTGTAACAACTTCTCTCTCTACCGTTAATGGGTCAAAGTATATTTCGACATTGTGCAATCTCTCGAATCCTTGCAATTGGTCCTTGACAGCAGCATTGATGTCTAAAAGAAACGTTTTCTTGTTCTTGGGGTCGTTCAAGAAACGAAGAATATCATTCTTGTCACTGATTTCATCACTAAATCTAGCTTTCAAGTAACCACCAATTGTTGCTGGATCTAAACCAATTACACCGACAAGGTATGATTCGAGTGAGTTACCATGAACAAATATTTG